CTCTCTCTCTCTCTCTCTCTCTCTTTTTCTCTTCCTCGGTTCCTTCGGTTGACTCACGAGCGATTATTCATTTGCAATAATTTGCGTTCGTATGCTTCGTGTTTGTGCATTTCTCGTAGCCGATTCGCTGAACGAGCAGCGCGTTTCTCTCGGTTAAATCTTAACGTTATGCAAACGTAAACTTTCGATTTTCGGTCCTAGACGACAAGCTCACAAAATTCGATACTTTGTCCGCAAAAGATAATCTCAAGTTTAAATAAAATCAAATAAAAAAAGGACAAAAAGTAAGAGTCACGCGCTGTTAATAATGCGCAAAGTTAAAAAAAAATCACATACTTCTTTAATAAGTTAAATAAAATACATTCAACAAATGATTCGTTGATAGCGCGTGACTCTCATTGTTTATTGTTCTTTTTATTTGGTTTTATTTAAATTTGTCTTTTAGTTAATTTATTCTACTATTAATTTCAAGTTTCTTTTTCAAAATGTTATATCAAAATAATGATATCTTTATGTATTGTAGTAAAAAAGAGTTGCAAATATAAATATATACATCTATATAAAATAAATAATATATTCTCGTTTATCCTCATTTGTTTTCTATAAAATTCAATTTGAAGTTATATTGAGAGTTTTCGTTATCAATTTAATAACGCATTTAATGTTACGTAATAAAAACAAATTCAATCACACGTTTGTGATAATTTAATCGAATTGATTTTAAAAAGGATAATAAATATAAAAATATGCAACTCAAAAATAGAATTACATCTTTCAAATGCAAAATATTGCTCTTTTCTGATACTATTTTTGATTCAAACTTCGCGAAATTTCTAGTCGCGTTTATTTCAAGCGTATAATAGAAAACGATTGCAAACCTGTCGCGCGCGAAATTGCAACTAGAAACCTGAATGGTCGATCTTGGCCACGTTGTGAAAGTAAGACAAACGCATAAGTTATAGACCTTTATTGCATTGTCGCTTGAATGGGAATCCGAAGCGCATTGCCTATATGCATAATTCGAATGGAACATAATATTGGCTTGTGAAGATAACAGTTATATAGTTCGATTTGAAAGTATTACAATAAAAGATTTTTTCATTGCTGAGGAAAGTGCATCATAAAGAAAGAAGACTATAAAATTAATTTTGCGAATTTTTTTAATTACGTGAGTACTTTTAAATTACTTGACGAGTCGAAAAAATTTTGCGATAAAATTTCCAGAATTATACTATCAGCGTAGAAAAGTACAAAAATATATCTCTACTCTTTCCGAGTGAAAAATTAAATTATTTCAAAATATATTGGAAATTAATATATATTTTCACGTACGTGTACGAATATACGTAAAAGAAGAGTCTTCGAAAATTTACGTGATGATGATTATTTCATTTATGACGAAACTAAATTATCCGTAAGCGTTCAGTTATTTTCGGAAATGCGTATTTCGAGATCTAATCGATGGTCTGAAATAAACATTAATAAATCGCATATTCGTTCTATATCGAGTCAAGAGAGGGACAATGTTTTGAAATAATGTTAATATGCCATTTTTTCATACATACGTTAAATTCATTTTCCTTTCTTCGCTGACGCCATCGAAGCCGACAAATGCGCACGAGACTCGTACGACCGTCGACGCACAACAAAGATTGCGATGTGTCCATCCAAAGAGATTTGTGTTTTTTTTTTTCACTCGCGCCGGTATCGGTTCCTCATTTCCGCGCAACGTGCCGCAGGATCGCGGCGTCGCGACGTCACCGATCAGTGCTGCCACGGCGTCGCGCGGCCGCTTACAGTGGTACGCGTCGCCGGCGAATCGCGCGCGCTCGGTTACGTTCGGTTACGTTCGGGCCTCCCCGCGCGCAGTTACGGTGAAGAACGTCAGTTACTCTTCGACACTCGCGTGGAAGAGTCTGTGCGTATTTAGCGGTCGGGGATATTCGCCGGGTCCCTCTATTACGGAGTGCCGGGTATCTCGTTCAAGGTGTCACACCCCGCGATTCCTTCCGCCCCCGTGACGCGCAGTCCGAGGGCAAAATCGTGCGTGCGGGGTATCGCGATCTCGTACGTGCGGTGAGAAGACGACGAGGCGTAAACCGGCGTCGATCTCGACGCGCGCGCGAGAGAGGTAAAAGCCGGTACGCGCGACGAGTACGATAACCGGTACGCGGAACAGCAGACGAAAGAAAAAAGAGAAAAAGAGAGAGAAAGAGAGAGAGAGAGAGAGAGAGAGAGAGAGAGAGAGAGAGAGAGAGAGAGAGAGAAAGAAAGGAGAAAGAAGGAAAGAGACGGCCGCGTGTGTGTTGCGGTTAATAGTGAATGCGCGAGTTTCGTCGGTAGTTAGACACAGTGAGATATGGATGTCTAAAGTGGATACCGAATAATCGAGGTTCGAAAGAGAGGGAGAAGCCGGGAGAACGCAGTCAAATACACGGACGATTCCAGCCGGCATTTTGACGTTTGCTCCGCGTGTGTCTTCCCCCTTTCGCGTTCCTTCCTCGCGTGTGATGAATACTGTCGCAAGTGAGACGTGCACGCGACGCCAACAGACAGAGCGTCGAGCCGCACGAGTGACGCCGTATTCGCAGTGAATTTTTTTTCGCGCGTTCCACCGCGGCAACAGCAATAACAACAACAACAATAACAGCGGCGCGGCGGCACAGTTTTTCGGTCGTTGCACGAAAGGTACAGAGAGATAGAGAGGGAGAGAAGGAGGGAGAGGAAAATATATAAATCCTCTCTCGACGCGTTGTGTACGCGCATTTCGTGAATACCGGATCGGTTGTTATCGGCGCGGAGAATCACGCGGCTCCGTTCTGACGTTCTCGCGACGACCGTGTCTCGTCGGGTCTCGTTGATCGCTAGTGTCTCTCGCGCCTACGGAAAAGAGGAGGAGGCAGTGAAGGAGGAGGGGGGAGAGATCTGCCTCTTCCCCGATGATACGCACGTGCGCTCGCCGCTCTCCGCTACTACGTTTGCGTGCGTGCGTGCGTGCGTCCTAGGCACGTTGAATAGTGAATCGAGTTCGTATTTTGCCGTGTTGCGGGCCGAGTGTACGGACGTACGAGTCGGCGCGCCGGTGCTCGTGTCGGTTAGCGTATCGTTGATCAGTTCGTTCGTCCGGTTCGGTCAGTTAATTCGCTTGCTTTACGCGCGCTCGCCGCCGCCGCCGCCGCCGCTGCCGCCGCCGCCGCGTGTCGCCCCTCCCCGTGTGGTACCTGTAGGAGAAGGACGCCGAAGGAGCGCGAAGGGCCGCCGCGAAGGACTTCGCAGCCGCGCGTAGCCATGGATACGCTCCTGCCGAGCGGCAATATATTTCGAGAGCTGCAGGACATACACGACACCGGATACTTCTCAGCCCAGCCATCGCTCGAGGATCATTGGCAACAGGTAAGGGTCAATTCGTTCTTCTCGTTCGGTTTCGTGAATCGATCGATTATTCCGCGAAATCGTTAGTACCGTTTCTTGATTTTCGTCAAAATCTTTGGCTATTAAAACATGTAAATATAGACATTCGTATAGACGCACACATGCTCCATGTGTAATTTTATAGACGTTAAATACAGCGTCTACATATTTTTTTCATTATTATCGCAGCGCTTCTAATTGACGTTTAAATGTCACATTCTAACTTTTCGATTAATTTTTTTCTCAGAAATATCAAATAAATGATTTATGATTTGATTTATGGCTAACTTTTTTCACACGTGTAATGAAAGTTGATATGACAGGATAATCTAGTGTGCATCGAATTAGGGTGTCCCGCAACAATACGATGCCACGTGCCGGCAAAAGTCACTAACCCGCGCGGCACTGAATACCGACATCCCTACCCGGCATTCGTTGTTTGACAGTTTGGCGAATGTTTCTATTTATTACCCTCTTTAAGGGACAAAGACAGGAGGGTTCGCAGGTATATGTTCGCTGTGTTCCCCCGTTCATTCATTCAGTCACTACCGACCGCGTTTGGAGCAAGTCGGTCGCTGCGGCGCCGTTTAGCTCCGTTTACGGGATACGAACGTGGTTAGTGACCTTTGACCTTCCTGTCGCGGCTGGTATCAAATGTTCGCTCGTTTCGGAGTACACGAAAAACAGAAATTGTCGCACGCGTTTAGCTCGTAAGATTCGCTACGTCGCAATGGAAACGGTGGATAATGAGTACGATCCGCGAGTATGATCCGCGATTCTTTGCATTCTTTATCGAACGTGACATTTGTCAAAACTTGCGAATGAGAACACACAAAAGTGATCTTCGAGCTGCAAAGACTTTACTGCAAAGACTTTAACGATGAATCATATGTCAAGCGTGTTATAATAAAATAGCTCGTGTTACATAACATGTAAATATAAATGTTACATCGATCGCGTACACGTCGCGGTTATTCTCGGCCTTTTCAAATTTTTGAGGAGTTATCTAGATTATAATTGGATCGTGTAATTATTTTTTATTTGCATAAGAAATTAAGTGATCTGCACGTTTAAGCTCTCAACGTTGAAATTGCGTTATTTCTTAAAACATTAACTCTCACAAATGCTCAAAGCATGTCGGATTTTAAAATCGTGCTGTTTAATCTTTCAAACCAACGTAATCGTTAAAGGGAATGTATTATGAACTGAGAAGCGCTTTAAATGTATATCAATCGAGTTTAAAGATCCGATTGTGTACGTTGTATAGATTTATGACATATTCACCTGCTGATTTACTATATATGTCATTAGTATATCCAATTCGAAATCGGATATTAAATGAGAACTGATAGTGTTTCTATTTATGTAATTACAGTCAATGCGAATAATAATTTAGAATTATCTTATCGCACGTTATCATTCACCGTTTTTAGAAATGTATTATTGAAAATACTGTCGCTTAAAAAACACATGTGTCTATTCTTCTTAGTTAAGTGTAAATTTGTCCACATTTCGATATTTGAAAAATTCAAGTGTTTGAGACACGTGTCATAAACCTGTTATACATGTCAGTCATTAATCGACAGACTCTTTTCGAAATGAACTTTAATCGAAAATATCAAATATCGAGTCACGATTGATTATCACTTTTTGATGATGATTTATAATTAACTTTCAAAACTGAAATCTGATCTGATCGAGTTTGAGCTTACCCGAGGAACAAAGCTTTGTTATTTCTTTCTATTTTTCAAGCCAAGAATTCTTTACGTTCGCTTTTAACATCGGCGGCGCTGATGCCTCTGATATTCTCATTGGAGCAGAGAGTACTTGAAATTAGGGCCGTGGAATTTGCCGTAAAGTTCGACGTGATCGTACACGTAACATCTCGTCGGGAATTCGCGGAGTTCGTCGGATGATCGATCGTGAAGCACGCGCATGATGTATTCCTGGAATTTAAAAGGCAAGCGTCAAAATCGCTCGTTCGAGAAGCCAAGGCCGCATTAGATGTGTGTGTGTATGTGTGTGTGTGTGTATGTGTGTGTGTGTGTGTGTGTGTGTGTGTGTGTGTGTGTGTGTACGTTCAGTGACGCCTGAGTATTCGCTATAGACGCCGCTCCGCGCGTCCTGTTTGTTTACAAGTGTGCAATGACCTTACTCCGGAGCGACCGGCCAGCGTAAGAGAGACGGCATTCGTTCCCCATTCAATATCTGAGGCAGTAGAGTGCCTTTTTTTTCTCTTTCTACCGAGCCGCGCCGGTGTGGTAACAGTATATCGCGAACGCTTTTTCAGGTTCCGCCGCCACGAGAAAATACGACCGACGTCGTGATCCGTTTAACCCTTTATTTGGTAACGTTGCCCTCGAGCGGCATCGATTTGTACCGTTTAAACGGTGCTGGGGTGACTTGCCGGCATCAAATTTCTTTCGTCCGCCAATTCTTTGGTCAATTATATCAACCTCCAATCTTCTTCGTGATATTAATGAAGATGAATTAATTAATCGTATAATTAAAATCGAAGAATCAATGTGTTTTTAACTTAACACTTATCGTGACTATAAAATTGTCATTAAAACGATTGATAAAAATAATTGATTTGAAAACAATTTTATCATTTTTTTAATTAAACGATCATTTTCATGCGATATACAGAAATGACATCATTCTATTTTTAAAAATTTTTGTATAAATTCACGGAGATTTGGATTAATAGATTTCAAATATTACTAAAATAACAAACGCTACATACACACTTGAATGATTAATTTTTGTCTATAGTGTGTGTATATATATATATACGCGATGGAAATGCAAGATAGAATAAAATATTGATAGATAGACCGTTCTTGCGTGTGGCCCTCATACAATTTGCATACTGCAGCGAGTCGCGAGCTCTCCCGATTAACGAACAAGTAAAGGGACGTTTATCGCAAGAAAATTTTGATCGATCGCTTGGCACTCGTACGTTCGACTCGCTCCCGCTCGGTTTGCGATTGGCGAATTGCCTAATTGAATGTCTCGAAGCTTTTCCAATGGAAAACCGCTGGCGCGCGAGAGGCATTTGTCATTAATTACTCGATCGTTTGACCGAGTGCCGCTTATCATCGCCGGTCGCGGATGGAGAAGCGCGTAAAAAATGAAAAAAAGGGACCTATTAGAAGTTAGCCCTTCACTTTTAGAAATAACTTATTTTGAGAGTTGTGCTGACTTGTGCTAGATTTGTGCTACATTGTGCTCGAATTTTAAAACCGTAATGTGAAAAATGTCATAAAAAAATGAAAAAACCCGAATTTTTAACATAAAATGCTTGCGCGAAGGGCCGCGTTCAAGAGTAAAGTGCTCTTCATATTGTTGTGCTGACGAAATCGGTGCAAGCGACTATACTGTTAGATATGCATTTGTATGCTCTTTAGATGACTGATATAAGAATAAATGTCATTTATATATTTTTTTTCCAAATCTATTTTTTATCATAACTTTTATTGTTATTATTTTTTAAAGATAATGTTTTGGCACAATGTTAGCACAACCTAGCACAACCTAGCACAATCGAGAAAATTAAAAAAAGTGAGAGGCTAGCCTAAAAATGTCGTTTTTTTCATTTTTTAAAATGTCGTTTTTTTTTCATTTTTTATGACATTTTTCACATTACGGTTTTAAAATTCGAGCACAATGTAGCATAAATCTAACACAATTTAGCACAACTCTCAAAATAAGTTATTTCTAAAAGTGGGACTAACTTCTAATAGGTGGGAAAGGGAGAATAAACAATATGCGACGTCGTGCATCAGTGGGACGATATTTCGCGTAACCGCGCGATCATGCGAGGCATATGGCGCCAACGCACGTGTCGACTGTGTCCGATAATGCGATTTGACAGGTGCTTCGTCCCGAGTTTTTTTTGTATTTTAAACTTTACGCGATCTCGTCCGTCACTGTTTCGACATCAGTTATATCTCTACACGCGACAAAGCGGTCCGACGCGTGTATTCACGCTACTACCTACACACGCAAGCTCGCTTTGTTATTTCTTTTTTAAAAGGTCTCTCGCTCTGCAAGTATCATACACGGTATTTTAGAGTTTGTTATATTTATGCGTATAGTTAAAAATTAAGGATGAAATAACTTTCAATAAAATTTTATATGCTACGTGCTCTTCCTTTTCCAATTTTTTATATTATTTTCTATACATTTTCCATATAGATTCTGTATGCTATGTTTTTTTTTGTATCGACCGATGGGATTTTTAGTGATTTTTTTTCGCTGAAAATTCACCGACACACAATTTCTCGACTTCACAATTTCGTGTTGTATTGTATGAAAAGTTTAAATATTGGTCATCATTTCTCTTAGTTTTGTTTTTAACGGTTACGTCTATGTAGACAGATGTGTAATGGTGAAATATTTTTGGCTGGTCTATATATATATATGTATGCGTTTATTTTATCGGTAAAACCACCATAAATGTCATTTAAATCTAACGTATAAATTCTTGATTGAGCTTATCGGTCTATACTTTGTCGCGATACGAGACAGTCTCTCGTGGCAAATTTTTTTCTCGATATCGATTTGTCATCGTAAAAAGATCCGTAATTGCATGCGATTGTTTTAAATACGAAGGACATGTAGCAATGCAGTTGGTATCGAATTTAACATCGCGGAAGTTATTACTCAGCCTGAGAGACAATTCTGTGGCCGCGGAAGATACGCCAACGCGCGTTTCCCTCGTCGCCGCTGATATCGCGGATCCTCGCGTGCGACGAGAACATTTATTCGTAATAATTGTCTAAGTTTTTACAACTTTTCAATTTTTTATTCCTTTAAATTATAAAATTATAAAATACCAAAATTTCTTACGAAATTTTGATTAGAAAATAATTCGCCATTTATCCCTACATATCTTTCATATTTTATTAAAATGAAAATTTCTAAATCTTTAAGAAGATAGAATTCTGATTTTATTAAAATTTATTAAGAGTATTCTT